TGTCTTGTTATATCTGTATTTGTGCCAGTTGATTCCAATCCTATCAATCTCTATTGCAAAGGTGAGGGCGTTTCTTATCTCCATTCCAGGGAGTAAAGACAAAAAAAGAAAAGTGTGATTGTTCGTAGTTAAAGTGATTAATTACCCGCCTGGCACTTAGTTAAGGGGTTTTATTCCCTTCCTTAGTCCTGTTAATCCCTAACTCCAGGGAAAAATCCCCACCTGGGGAAACAACCTTTCTCGCAGAGGTGACCTTGGCTAAAACACATAGCGCTAAGAAGGGGAGCAAACATATTAAGAACAGTATGCCATATACGCCAGGTCCCTTGAAACATATGCTGTGCAGATGTTTCTTCCCTGCAGCAACTGTCAAGCAGCAAGGATGGACCGGCTTCCGGCAAATTCCCTCTTTTTTATTTTTTAAATTACAGCGCATGTAAATCAGCGGCCACCTCTCGGATTGGGTTGTTTAAGACTCGGAAGACTTGTTTGTGACTTTGCCAACAGGTCAGTCCGAGGCTTAATCCTATATCGGCTCCCCACAGATGGCCATGGAGGTGGTGGCTGCCTGGCCCTCTGCACAGGCCCCATGTCTCCCCGCAGAACCCTCTCCTCCTCCCCGCCTGCAGGGGCAAGAGTTCTCAGTGACCACCTTCCCTGATAACTTCTTGGGGCTGTTGGCCCTGGGGTTGGGGCCGGCGAAGGGTCCTGGGGTAGAGGCCAAGGGTAGGGTCTCTTATGACCTGAGTAGCTTTAACTTTTCTCAAAACCACTGCAGACTGTGGTTGCAGTATGACTCGGGCCCAGGAGGCACGACGGAGCGATGGTCCCAGGACAGGTGAGACCTTGGGCATGAGGTGTTGGAACTGTCCGTCACCTGGCAGAGCATGGATGGACCCAGGCCTTCCCCTGCCTTGGACTCGTTCCTGTGGCCTCCTTTGCTAGCCACTGTCGATCGCTCACAGAACCCAGCCCTGCCCGGGCTCTGCCCACAGTGCTGTCAGCAGAGAGAGTGGTGCCCTGGGCCCAGCTGCCCGCACGCCCATGGCAGAGGGCGGGTACCCAGGCACACAGCCCTGCCCTGGCCTCTGCTGGGGGCAGGGGACTTCTGGGAGGGGACATTGGGCCATCTTGGGTGACAAGGAGGAGCCAGCCCTGGGAGGCACTAGGCAGTGGGGGGAACAGCAGGCCCTGCGCTAAGGCCTCTGAAATCATGTGCCTGGCCCTGCTAAGGCGTTAGGGTGAGTCTGACTAAATACAGCAGGCTACATCTTTTAAAATATATTTTTATTGATTTCAGAGAGGAAGAGGGAGGGAGGGAGAGAGAGAGAGAAACATCAATGATGAGAGAGAATCATGGATCGGCTGCCTCCTGCATGCCCCACACTGGGGATCAAGCCTGCAACCTGGATGTGTGCCCTGTCCGGGAACCAAACCGTGACCTCCTGGCTCATAGGTCGTCCTTCAAACACTGAGCCCTGCTGGCTGGGCTGGCAAGCTAATTTTTGAGGGCTAAATTTTGTATGGCCCTCCAATGATGTTACAAATATCCCAGTGGCCTTGGCAGAAAGAAGGCCCTCCACTCCTGCTCGAGGAGGAGGGAGGCCAGGCAGAGGGAGCCACCTGACAGCTGGGGGTGGAGAGCACAGCCAGGAGGCCGGTGTGGCTGGACCGGAGCCCTGAGCAGAGGACAAATGGGATCTGACTCGGCTTCCCTGGTGGAGGCAGCGGTGCCCATGGAGATGTGAGTAGCAGTGGCCAGAGTCTAAGCATGTTTTGAAAGTTGTACCCATGGACTTGTCTCAGGATCAGCTCAGAGTCTGAGAGAAAGACAAGGCAAGGAGGTCCCCCGGATCTTGACCTGAGCCATAGGGCTTCGCCATTTTCTGGGGCTCTCCAGGCAGGTTTGAGGGAAGAGGGGGGCACTCTGGCCATGTTGGGTGTGGGTAGTTGGGACTCTAAGACACAGTTGCCAGGCCACAGACCAGGGGCTCTGGGGCTGCCGCGAGCATGCCGTGGCCCAGACGGTGTGGAGGGGCCTCCGTTTTGCATGCTTCCCTCACGCACAGCTGTGCCCTGGCGCTCGTCTCTCTTTCAGGCAGAAGAGCTTTGCCCGTCGCCAACCAAGTCCATGCGTCACGAGTGTGATTGCCTCCAAGCCTCCGTGTCCCGTCTGTGAGCAGGGCTCTGAGAGTCCTGCCCGTTTGTAAGGGTTTCATGAGGCTTCGTGTGTGCAAGGAGCTGAGCACGGGCCTGTCTCCTGCCAGGCCTCGCCTGTGAGCTGCAGCTATGGCACCTGCTGTCTCTGAAGGTGCAGGCCCAGGCTCTGGGGAGGGGCCACAGGTCAGCCTCGAAACCCTAGAGCAGTGACGGCGAACCTTTTGAGCTCAGCTTGTCAGCATTTTGAAAAATCCTAACTTAACTCTGGTGCTGTGTCACGTATAGAAATTTTTTTATATTTGCAACCATAGTAAAACAAAGACTTATATTTTTGATATTTATTTTATATATTTAAATACCATTTAACAAAGAAAAATCAACCAAAAAAATGAGTTCGCGTGTCACCTCTGACACGTGTGTCATAGGTTCGCCATCCTGGCCTAGAGTGCCTGGCAGAGAGAGAACAGCCTAGTTTATAGGACACATCTCTCTTGAGCGTCTTCCCTGGCCTGGGCACTGGGACCAGCAGGAGCTGATGAACCAGCATGGAGGGCAGCCCCAGGCCATTTGGGGATCTGTTCCATCCACGGCCCAATGGCCACTTCAAGGATATTGATGGAGGGAACAGGCAGGCGATGAACAGGGAGACGAGCAAACTTCAAGGCGTGAGGACCCGCCACCTCCCTCTTGAGAGCTGGCAGTGGTGAGAAGCCAAGATCTTTCCAGTGGCTCGCAAGGCCCCCATGATTTGGCCCCAGAGCCTCCAGCGTGGCTTACTCCCAGGCTCCCTACTCGGTCCAGCCACCCTGCTGGCCTCCCACTGCTTCTTTGCACTGTGTGCCTCAGGGCCTATGCACGGCTGTTCTCGGCACCTGGACTGCTCGCCCCCCACGTGTGCTTTTGTGTTCCTTGCCCCTCAGGTCTGTGCTCAGGAGAGGCCTGCCCTGTGCACCCTCCCCTCCTCGGCTGCGTTCATCTCTAGCTTGTCCCCCAGATCAGTCTTGTTTATAATGATACGACTTCCTGTCTGTCTCCCTCCAGGAGGGAGCATCTGGTCAGTTTTCTTTACTGTTATACCCAACGCTGAACCCTGCCTGGCATGTAGGCCCTGGTGCGTTGGGTAATTAAATGGCCAGGGCGCATGCAGGCCGCTCCCTCCGCTGGCCCCTGTGGTCCTGTTCTGGGCGTGTTGAATTACCCAGCAGGTGTGGGAGCCGAGACCAGAGTCCCACTGCATGGCCAGGGCAGGCGGCAGTGGGGCCAGAGCTGGGCCCGCCCACCAGAGCAGCCGTGAGGCCTGAGGAGGGGATGCAGGGGCCCCTAGGGCCACCCTCTGCTGGACCGTTAAGGGAAAGGTATTCCAGGCAGAAGAAACTGCCTTGGGAAAGGCCTGGAGGCAGGAGGCAGAGCAGAGACTGGTCTGAGGCCTGGGCTCCCCTTCCCCTGACTCGCCGTGGGGTGTGGGTCTGAGTCTGCATCTGCACACAGGGCGGTGGCCTGAGCGCCGGGAGGACCGGAAAGTGCCTGACAGGGCAGCCGTGTTCCCGCACGCAGTTTGCTGCGCCCTCAGCCTTCAGGCTTCTGTTGGTGACATCGCAGGCCCCGGCCCAGGCAGCAGGGAGCAAATTATGGGGCTTTAAAGTGAAAAATACATGAAATACAATTTGCTTTTCATAATCACACTTGACGTTGACATGTTTTCCTTTAGGGACAGCAAACTGTGTTCTGATCTCAGGGCCCTTGCAACTGGCTGTGCCCTCTTCTCGTCCTTCCCTGCACCTCTGGCGAAATGGCCCTCTGTCCCCATCAGCTTAGTTCCTCATCCATCACAGCTCCCTGAAGGCAGTCTGTGGCGCTGTCCTCAGCTGCTCGTTCTCCCCACACTCGGCCATCAGCACCCACCCATCAGCATGCTCACCGGGACTAGTGCGGCCGCCACGCCCCTCTTCTCAGCCAGAGGAGGATCACGAGACACGGACACCTCCTGTCCCTCCTCTGCCAAGGACCCTCCGTGGCTCCTGGCTCGCGGTGGTTGTGAGGCTCTACGGGCCCCCTCCCCCATCACCCCTGCCCTCCCCTCATCTCCTCCACCCTCTTGCTTGCCCACTCCTGACTCAGGGCCTTTGCACTGGCTGCTCTCAGCTTGGGACACTGCTCCCCAGACAGCACACGGCCCGCTCCTCTTTCTCCTGCCTCCTCTCCACCCACCTGCCTGCTTCTCTGCTCTGTTTCCTCTTCTCGTGCGTCCACCAGCACAGGACTCTTGCCTGGCCTGCTTATTGCTGTGTCCTCAGCACCTGAAACAGTTGTTAAATGGGCTTGGTGGGTGGATGTGTGCACAAATGGGTGGATGGCGGGCTGGGTAAGTAGATGGGCAGGCAGAGGAGAGATGGATGAATGATGGATGGATGAATGATGGATGGATGGATGTGGTTGGATGGATGGATGATGGATGGATGGATGTGGTTAATGGATAGAAGGATGGTTGGATAGATGAATATGGTTGGATGGATGGATGGATGGATGGATGATGGATGGATGGATATGGTTAGATGGATGTGGTTGATGGATAGAAGGATGGTTGAATGGATGGATATGGATGGATGGATGGATGCGGTTGGATGGATATGGATGGATGGATGGATGTGGTTGGTTGGATGGATGGATGGTTGGATGGATGGATGGATGTGGTTGGATGGATATGGATGGATGGATGGATGTGGTTGGTTGGATGGATGGACAATGGATGTGGTTGGATGGATGAATGATGGATGGATGGATGGATGGATGGATGGATGGATGTGGTTGGATGGATGGATGGATGAATGGGTGGGTGGATGTGGTTGG